GGAGGGGAAACACGATATCTACCAGTGGCGAACTCCAGCCATCTGAGAGGCACCAATGTTTCGGCGACTATTACAGAAAGAGTTAACAAGGGCCAGACCTCACAGAGGTTTCTGACACATGGGCGGACACACACTGCGACAGGTGCGACAAATTAGTATCCCTTTCCACCTCCCACATCGACAGACTCTAATAAAAATGGAGGTAGAACAGCCGGTACTGTAGAGACAGGGAGCTCAACAGTTATTCACACCTTCGAGAACACCTGGGTTGGTGTGAAAAAGGTTACAGTCGTGGTGTTGGTTCTGGTGGTCACTAACATGAGGCATCGAAACGGGAGGGGGGGGGGGGAGAGAAAGACTGACCAATCAGAGAGAAGAACGCACAGCGGTCGTCTAGCCAGCGTGTGAGACGATTTGGTTGGTTGGAAATATTTTACAGGCCTTATTGACGGTGTACTGCTGCTGACCTCCTAGTATGGTAGACTTTGTCGCAACCAGCCCTCACTACAACGACAACAATGGTGTCTATGAGAACGAAATCAACAGCCACAAAGAAAATAATAAAAACAACAGCATCAACAATGACAACAATAATAACGACGATAATGACCAGCACAAGAGCAGTCTGTGTATTCTACCCCCCCCCCCAAACCATCACACCACAAGCACAAAAGAAAAACCAACTCAAAGGGGTGTTTCCAAAACTGTGTGGGGGGCTCGACATTCAACTAATCATTAATGGCTTATGAATATTTTCTCTGCTGGAGTCCTTTAACTGTTTTCGTGCCAACAAGCAGCCGAAACACCTTTTGGTGTTGTTATAGTTTTGTAGAATCACGACCACAATAAATTATGGCCGTTATCAACGAGTCTATGTGTTTCTCTTTACTCAAACAAACTAACGCATCAACAAAACGAGGTGGATTTGGAAGGGTTGGAGAATGATGATGATGATGATGATGATGATGATGATGATGATGATGATGATGATGATGATGATGATGATGATGATGATGATGATGATGATGA